CTGAACTGCAGACCCCCTCTCCCACGACTACGCCTCGAAATCCTATCCATGTATATTAGAAAGAGGATTGGTGACAAAGCGCAGCCCTAGCGGAGGCCAACCCTCACCGGAAATGGGTCCGACTTACTGCCGAGGACCCGTACACAGCTCTCGCTTTGGGAGTACAGAGATTGGATGGCCCTGAGTAGAGACCCCCTCACCCCATACTCCTGCAGCACCTCCCACAGTAACTCCCTGGAAACCCGGTCATATGCCTTCTCCAAGTCTACAAAAAACATGTAGACTGGATGAGCGTACTCCCAGGCCCCCTCCAGGATCCTTGCGAGAGTAAAAAGCTGATCCGTCGTTCCACGACCAGGACGGAATCCGCATTGTTCCTCCTCAATCTGAGGTTCGACAATCGGCCTGACCCTCCTTTCGAGTACCTTAGAGTAAACTTTCCCGGGGAGGCTGAGTAGTGTGATACCTCTGTAATTGGCACACACCCTCTGATCCCCCTTTTTAAAAAGGGGAACCACCACCACCCCGGTCTGCCACTCCTTCGGTACTGTTTCCGACTTCCACGCAACGTTGATGAGACGTGTCAACCATGACAGTCCCTCAACACCCAGAGCCTTCAGCATTTCTGGGCGGATCTTATCACCCCCGGGGCTTTGCCACTGTGAAGTTGTTTGACGACCTCAGTGACCTCCCCCCGGGGGATTGGTGTTGATCCCCCGTCATACTCCAGCTCTGCCTCTAACATAGAGGGCGGAGTTGTCAGGTTCAGGAGTTCCTCAAAGTGTTCCTTCCAACGGTCTAACACTCCATCAGTTGAGGTCAACAGCGTCCCATCCTTACTGTACACAGCTTGGATGGTTCCCTGCTTCCCCCTCCTGAGGGGTCGGACAGTTTTCCAGAACAACGTTGGTGCCACCCGAAAGTCCTTTTCCATGGCTTCTCCGAACTTCTCCCACACCCGCTGCTTTGCCTCGGCCATGGCTGAGGCTGCTGCCCTTCGGGCCTGTCGGTACCTCGCAACTGCCTCGGGAGTCCCCCGGGATAACAAATCCCTGAGGGCCCCCTTCTTCAGTCGGACAGCTTCCCTGACCACCGGTGTCCACCAGGAGGTTCGAGGGTTACAAATATTTTCTTTTTAATATTAATTAAGTGAAAAATACAACAGCGTTCACAACTAAACACTTGGACTTGGAAGTATTTTGGGTTATAAAGTGACATAATACTAGAAAATAACCAATCTTGTTGATAGCGATTCATTGATGTTACAGCTGTAGACTGTATTTGCTGCTTTTCGGTTTTACCGAATACTTTTATCTGTTGGTGGGATAAAGCATGACTTCGCCTTAGTCTTTGGGAAACCATAATAGCAATCTTTCACTATTTCTGACATTTCAATAAACAAGATGGCGCAAACTATTTCAGTTACAGCCATATGCAGCTGAATGATTGCTGATGGAGCATATATCTAAAAATGAAATTTTTTTGTTTTTAAAAAGCAGATATGTTTCAGTACCTTGGTCTCAGTGAGTTGTCTTTGCAGGAGCTGCAGGGCCTCAGTGTGTCCCTTCTCACTGTCCTGCAGGGTGGCCAGCTGCTCCTTCATCTCCCTCTGCAGCACAACAAACAAAAGGTCAGTAACCAGGGACTGGAGCTCAATGTTAGAGAACAGAATACAAATTAATTACCTCAAAAATATTTTTAAAAACCCTTACAGTTCCATACCAATAATGTTAAAAGATGAACCAATTATATTCTGTTTATTCAAGATGTATTATTTGTGAAACAGCTCTCTTTGCTCTGATAAATGGCAGCAAAGACTTAAGTCTCAGCTACAAAACAAGCAAGGCAGATGGAGCGTGAGATATGAAAGAGATAAAATAAAATCTCCGGAGATGTTTGGCTGTGTTAGAGAAAACTGGGTCTCATCTCACGTCAGGCACACGCTGGCAACCTGCAGCACTCTGCCACCTCCGAGCCTCCCCAGGGCTGATCCAGGCTCGGGGGNGGGGGGGGGAGGGGGGAGTGCTGCTGTCACGAATGGTGCCCAATTTTAGTGCAGGTCCCATGTGCCAACCACACCGGCACACTGATTTAGGTTTTAGGACGGAAGTGGTTCAGCAGATTCCCTTAAGTAGAGACTTGTTTATACAAATGTACAAGTACGAGACTCAGGGAACAGCTCTGCACTTTGTTAATCTGCACTAGGTCCATGTTTTGTTACTAAGTAAATAATGAGGAATGAAATGTTTTAAAGTTTCAAAGTCAGTGTCTCACTCACTTGAATCTTTAATGGGACACGTGTCATGTGAAATGATAACATTATAGAGCATGAAAGTAATCATCACCAGGTGTGTAGGGAAATAAATGACCTCTCTTATTACAAAAAAAAAAGACAAAAGGAAACTGGATTACATTGCATTACAGACCTGACCTTTGTCAAAGTGACTGAATCAGAACCACTGCAGCATCAAGGCAAGTTTATAGCAAAATTCAACACAAGGCAAGTCAAAATGCTTTAGAAAGATGAAAAATATTAAGAGCAGTAAGAATCACTACATAAAATGTGATTTAAAAAATCTAATGATTTTGAAAAAAACTAAAAGAAAAACGGATTTCTGCACACGAATAAAGGTGGTAGGTTGAGAAACCTGACAGAACAAGAACAAAATAGACGTTAAAATGGAAAGGAAGAAAATACGTTCTATTCGAAGTTTATCTGGTATGTTTCCAAAGATGTAAAACACAATTCTTTAAGCTAAAATACAAACAGTTATACAGGGCAGCTGCAAATTACTCAGACATCCAACAAAAGCCTGTAAAAGGACAATATTTGATTTCTACAAAGAACGGCGTCCTTATCCTTTCCTTATGGGAAATTGAGACAAAAGGGAATAACTTGGGACAAGCCTAATTTATATCAAACCCTTGTTAGGCATCCCCTGCTGCTGCTCGCTGCTCATGTAACCTGTGTGTCACACTGTGTCACTCCCCTGAACACCGACTGCGGCAAACATCCACCAAATGGAGCTGTCAGCTTAGCGGGGATAATAGAAAAAAAACATCCCTCAGCTACGAGGCTGAATTAAAGGCTAGAATTGAGCTTTATTGACAGGAAAAATACACAAGAGTTTCATTATCTCTTCTTTATAGGAACAAAAACAGTCAAACTTGAATCCTTAGCTGCATAATTCAGAAGGACCAAATGTGGTCTGTTGAGGGCGAAGCATGTTTCCTCTCAAGGACAGAAACAGTGGAAAACAATGGATGGTGCAGAGGGGGAGCGTGACTCTACATGCTAATGATAGGAGTGCGGCAGGCTCAGCAGGCTCTCCGCCTCATCACTACACGCCTCTCTGCAGCAGGTCAAAGGCCGCTCCCACACACTGAGATAGACCAACACTGACAGACTTGCAGAGAAAACATGCTCCTCCACTCTCCTGCTGCACACCGTCTGACGGACCGGCCAGGGGGGGGGCAGCCTGAACGGGGGCTGCTGTCACGCCAATGGATGGACGCATCAACGGGAACCCAAAAATACTCTGCAGATTTTTTGGGGGATTTACATTGTCTGGAGGTATGGTATCATTCTCTCCATTACAGTTTGTAATAAACTCCATATATCAAGTATCATTTGTTAAGCTGAATTTAGGCAGGCAAAGCTGTATTTCCAATATTTCAGTAATTAATTCAAGTTTATTCAGCCTTTTTTATGGCTAAAGGGTCCTCAAAAGACTAACACTGAGTAAAAGAAGACCTCAAAAACTGGAAAAAGTAACAATGAAAGATGATCAACTACAGATAAAAAAAATAAAAAAAACACAAATTAAAAACTTTATAAATGTACAAAAGAGCAACAAAAACAACCTTGGTTGATTCATCTGTATCTACGTTAAGGCCCTGCACCTCCTCCATAACGTGCAATTACATAAACACAAAACAAAAACAAACAAAGACTGACAGGGAAGTTTATGTTGTCATGAGTACAAGAGTGTGTTTCTGTGTTGTGCGAGGAGGCGTCTCTCTCTTGTCCATCACATCGAACCAACATGAATCTGACATGACATTTCCCCAGGACATCAATGCAGGAAATGGGGTTCATGGCAGGGGGATTATAAATCTAAAATTAATGCCAACCTGCTGTCATTCCTTTTTTCCTCTCCTGTCAGGATGGCAGCTCTGGTAGATATTTACGAGTTCATAAATGAATAAAACAATAGACCATCAATGAACAATACCTCCAAAATGGCTTAAAATCCCTCAAACTTTCCTTTTTTCCAGCAGCTCGTTCAAGACTGAAAAAGCGTTAATGGCTTGAAACTGACAGCCCCGATGAAGAGGCAAACAAAACATGCAGTGTCACACGTTAAAAATAAAAAGCCTACTGGAAAGAGAAACCTTAAACAGTCTAGCGTTCAGTTATTTCACGCAGCAATATAAGCACAAAAACAAACTACACTTGCAACTCATCTGCTTACTGGAGGACATACAGATAGCAAGCCAATGTACTATTGGGCTTATAATTAAAGTGGGATCTATTTAATCTGTTTATCGTTAGATAAGGAATGCAAACCCCAGCAGAGCCCACAATAACTCAATGTGCTGCTAGTAATTTTAACAAGGACAGTTTGGCATAACCTTCGTGGAGCTGAGAGTGTAATTCTGTCAGGTGGCAGGCGGGGTGGGTATACAGGACCCCGGCCAATAAACAGAACGTGGACACACTGCAGCCGTTACACTGAGCTTTATGGGCTTCTTGTGATTTAACATGGACCAGGTCAGAAATATGCCGTCTATATATTTCTGACGTTTACACCAAGGAACAGAGTTACGGGGAAACTACATTCAAGGCTATCCGCTCGGACGCTTCAAAGGAAGCATCTCACGTGTACCGACACACAATAACAGTATCATTATTCATTACAATTGAATATCTGTATACAGAGCACACATAACATGTCTGCGTCACTCCTATCAAACTAATTGTCTTGTTTGTTGTGGTATGGAAGCAACAGAACTACCAAATGATTTAATGATAGCAGGTGTTATTCTAACATGAATTCAAAGTTACATTTTTATCAAAGCTAACTGCTTGCTGTTAACTCTAAAAGAAGTCTCCATTTAAGGTTCATTCATAATCATCGTACAACACTTGTATTTAGTGAGTCATTTGAGCGACATGTAGCAACCAAACACAAACAGAGAGTTACTAGATTCCGTAAAATGCAAGTACAAATGCAAATCAACAAAAACAGCAATCAGACAAGAGAACCAACATAAATAATCTGCAAATGGAATAAAAGAAAGTGTATTTTCGAATTGGGGTAGAGAAGCTAGTAATGGAAATGCATAAATATAGCCAACAGTATATTGTGCATGCCATATCGTCAGAAGTTCATCCCGATGAAACATGATGAGAAGCGACTAGCATGCGTGGGTCTGTCCTCGCGGTGCAAGGACCCTTTCACAGCACTAGCTGCCAAACCAAGTGCAGCCTGAAGACACTGACACAGAGAATGAGCCAACTGCAGACCTCGACAAGCAAACTGCAGCTACTGATGTCACAAACACAGAAATACTCTCCGTGTTCAAAGGTGGAAGATCTTGTATTTTTTTTCCCTCTTCTGTGACGCACATTTCTTACAAGGTCTGTCATTGAGAGTAATATCAAAATGTTGACCAAAGACCCCTGGGAACATAGCGCATTGTGTAAGCACATAGCCTTTCAAAATGAAGCTATACACACACACACACACAATTCCTCATTTTCATATAGGCCGACGGAGGCTGTGTGCTAAGTCATCATGATAAACTGTTTACCTCAGGATTTAATACCAATCATACAAATGTTTCACCTATCTGTCCAGTGATGTCTGTCCCTCCCCTCTGTCCCCGGTAGGGCAACCAAAACAGATACTTGCGAAAGAAACAAAAAGCACAACAACATAAAAAAATGCTGTCTCAGGCTGAAAACTCTGATGTATTTGTTCCAACTAGGCATCGCATTGAGCTCAAGCTGCGCCTGACGTCCCGCAGCCGTGTTTCCTGTAGCATCAGCAGAGCCTGCAGCCTCTCCGGGGGAACGAGAGCGTCCCGCAGCCTGAGCCCAGCCGGCAGAGGCCAGCTGAGCTGACGGAGCAGGAGGCTGCAGGACACACACACTCCTCACCAACATCTGTCCCCGTGAGACAAGAACAGGCTGTAAAGTGTGTGAATCTACACAGCAGAATGTACAGCTCTGGACTTATGGAACATGTGAAAGATTATAACTTTTATTAGGGTTTCAACTCGTAAGTATTTTCATTGTTAATTATGTTTTCGGTGCATTATTTAAATCACTGATGGTAAATATTTATGTTGCAAAAAAAAAACTTCTTAAATGTAAGGTTTTGCTGCTCTTCACAGTAGAGTATGACAGTAAGTTGAATATACTTGTATTTTGGTTTTGGACTGTTAATCGGACAAAACCAGAAAAGTGTAAGTGTTATTTTTTTAAAGGCAACAATATTCATCATCTTTTACCAGGCACAATGTTTGACAGACATATCTACAATAAAGCCATTCTTTGACAGATGAAAGGCTTCTACTGTGACTGTTCCTGGGTCAGTTCAC